ACATTTTTGCTATTTGGTCCTATAATTTAAAATGCAATGCAATTTTAGTCATTTGAAACTGAAAATGCAACAAAATTTAAAATTACAGGACTTGACAAAATACTAAATTACATGATCAAAAGACAAAAAGTTTAAATCTTGAAACTTAAAATGACAGCAATACTAAAAATTCAATTTTGCCATACACAAATTTACTCAAGAGAGTACACTTAAACTAAAAAACCTGGTAGCTTAAGGAAAGTACAGCATGAGAAATTCATCAATTTGAAAAAAGATGGCATCTTCATTCAAGACAAGATATCGATAAATTTAATATGGTACACTCGGCCATTCGAACAACGACACGAGATTTACAGACTTACAAGAAACGAACACAACGAATAAACACTTATCTAGCAATATAATATAAACAGATTCTAACCAGCAGATGAAAGCTGTCTCTGACCTATAAACAAGCCTACAAATGCTTGTAACCGCACAAAATGTGCCACGCGATGGGATGGCGAAAATATAACTCCTCTAACTCATCGAAATTCCTCTTGTGGAGTTATAGTCCATCACAAATAAGTCGAACAAGACAAGACAAGAGAGAAAAGAAACGGATTCTAATCCTACCACTAGTGAGTTGGCAAAAAATGTAGTTACTTTTTTTTAACACCACAAAATTTATCGGGACACCCCCTACCACTAGTGAGTTGGGAAAAAATGTAGTTACTTTTTTTTAACACCACAAAATTTATCGGGCCACCCCCTGGTAAAAATTCGTAAAAACTTGTATTACGAGATATATACAACCAGTCATCACTATATCAAGAATTGCTGGCAACCTCCGCAGCTCGTTGCCTCATCATTTCATTTACAGCAGCCCTTCTTCGTGAATCCGATTGTTGTTGTAGCCTTCTCATGTGATCCTTCAAGTCTCTGCATCCAAAAAATAAAAAAATAAAATAAAATAACGAGAGAATTTAGAGAACTGTATTGCCACCAGTTCAAATCAGATGATTATATCTGCCCTATACGGTTTTAAGTCTCTAAATACACAAAAAAGTATAGTTAATGTTCCAAAATAACAAGTACAGAATCAATTAAGGTTATAATTTATCAAGTTTTAATTTAAAGGTGTTTTACCACACCCTCCCCAATCGGTTGCAAGTCTCTCCATAAAGATAAACTGAGAAGGGGAAACAAATATCTAGGGTGTATTTGTAACTTTAGCAAGTGACAGGAATCTTAGTCATCATGGTAGAAAGAAAACTTTGAGGCTAATTTCGCAATTACGACCAGTATTTTAGCAGCCAGTCAAGTGTCATAGAAGATTATCTCGAAAACACACCTGCAACGAGGTACAGTGCACTCTGTTTCTTTGCATGCCCGAGCATGCAGCTGCAGGAGGTACCACATCTTCTTGCACAAAGGACAACCACCCGAAGCACGAGTCTTGCAACCCATACCGTGGCGGAAAAGTCCCTTAACCTTCCTACAGTTTGGATACTGGCAATGTGGAGACCGACATTGAGAAGCATGCACCAGAAGATCAAGCATTTTCCTCAGCTGCAAAATCACAAATCAGGGCCATATATTTTATTTTTGGATAAACTATGACTTGAGGATAGACAAAGATAATCACTGGAGCTGATAGGAACAACAAATCATCAGTTCACGTACAGAGATTCATTACTAACCATTTTACCCCACATCCACTTACTGAGTGCAAAAGAACAATAATCAGACCCAAAGCACAGCATAATGATCGTCTCGGATCGAAAAGAACTTAGTCATGACATTACCTGTGTAACCCGTAACTGCCTGGCTTCTTTGTTCTGCGCGTCATGATCGCTCGACTGGCAACTGGTCAAAGGATGAGGATGGTCAACTCCCCCATCCTTGCGGTAGCAAGCGCCACACACGTCATAATCTGGACACGTGTCACACCGCCACCCCTGGCCCGCTTCTATGTCCAGGTGGCACACAGCACATGTAGACACAAAAGCTGGGGCTGTAGGGTTGTGGAGGTGGTAGAGGACCATCATTGACGAGTGCTTGGCTCGCCGTAAGGTATCGTATTGGTAGTGGTTACCTTGACAGAGGCTGAGGAAAGCCTGCCTCGTGTCAAAGAATTCGCTCTCAAGGACCTCATTGTCCTTAGTTTCGTCAGGAATTCCAGTGATCTCCACCTGTGGGACCATGCATATTTCAAATTTTCAGCAAAAAATTATGTAAGGCCGTCTGACTGAAGATGCTCGGATAGACGGTGGGCAAGTTTAGTTTTCCAGTTCTTTTTTTTTCCAGTTTTTATGTGTTGTGGCCTTTCTCTAGGTTTATCAGCTTTTTAAGGTTGTCAGGAACTTACAGGATAAAGGGTGTGCTTGTCCTTATAGTTAATAGGATGTCTCTCTCTGTCATCGCGCTTTTGCTCAACTTCATTGCACCTGAAAAAAAAAAAAAAAAAAAAAA